AAAGCAAAGGCAAAAGGCATAGAAGAATGAAATCCCTGTGGAATTTCATATGTCTGTGGAAAAAAACTGCTCTTCTATCTACAATAGAGGGTGTTTTTTTCCTTTTCTATTGCTGATCTAATTGAAACAGAAGTGTGTTCTACAGAGCTGTCCTGAACCTTCCACAGTTGACCTTGAACAACGTGGGTGCAATGACACTGGTCCTGTGCAGTAGAAAATCCACAGGTAATTTTTGATTTCCTAAAAACTTAACCAAATAGTCTATTCTTGACTGGAAGCCTTATTGATAACACAAACAATCAAACACATATTTCGTATGTTTTATATATATTACAATAAAGCTAGAGAAAAGAAAATGCTATTAAGAAAATCATAGGAAAGGGAAATTCATTTCCAGTATGGTATTAATTCATACTGCAAGTTCATCTCACCTGCTGGTACCTGCATCAGTATCATCTTATATGATACAAAACACTATAGATGCTACATGTATTACTAACACTAGATATCAAAAATGAAAATATTGGGAAAGGAGATGGCTGGTTATGTCGCTGGACTCCCACATGGCCAACTGTGTTTTGAGTCCTGAGAGGGGAGGCTTGTAACTTATGCTGGGTTCATGTGTGTATGTTCCCAAAATCCTGAGAGCAAAAATGGAGGAGAAAGGATTGTAACATGGCCATCCCCTGGGGGCGGGGGGGGGGATGATTTCTTGTTTTCTGTCTCTCTGTCTCTCCAGTGAGCACACGTGCCCTATAGCAAAAATCTCTAAAAAAAAAAAAAAGAAAAAAGAAAGAAAGAAAAATATCATGTGGAAAAGAAATTCATATTTTATTTATAGAGATAATTCATGCACTGATAACAAAGAAACAGTAAAACGATTGCTTTATAGTAGTTTAGTGTAACCAATACAATTGCTTCAGTGTAGCCTAGACTATATACTAATATATGAATTACAATTTGTTTTTTAAAGGCAGACAACTAATTTTTCTTAAAAAATTATGTAACTTTATGTATTTATTTATTTTATTTTATTTGACCAGAAAGGGAAAGAAACAGAGACAGAGAGGGAGGGAAAATGAGAAAGCAAGTTGGCAAATCTGGGATTCAAGCCACGGTCAGACACATGGGAGTCTAATGCCCTTAATCACCACACCACCTACTGGCCCTGAAATATGAATTTTATGGTGTTATTTGAGGTGTATGATATTGCACTAAATATGAAGAAAAATACTCAAAAACCAAGAGTTCACTTTACCATGCTAAACAATTCACTGGACAGATGATGTACTCACCTGGAGATGACCAGTGCCATGTGGGGTTTGAACTTATACAGGCAAAACTTGAGTTCGTTGCATAGAATGGGAGGCAGTGATAAAACCACCACTGTAGTCCAGTACGCACTACAGTTAATTTTACCAGTCATTATCATTTAATGCTGCATCTTTGTATTTGTTTATTTTTTGCTTGACTAGAAAATTTTTTCAAATTGTTGCAAATCTCAAACAAATTGCCAATATATTCATTGAGAAAAATCTGCATGCAAATGAACCCCTGCATCTCAAACTTGTGTCGTTCAAGGGTCAACTTGTATTTTCATACTTATTTTTCTTTCTAGGAATGTGACTACTATGGAACACAGACCTTTTCCTATATTAATCCCCCACTTCCCATTTTCATTTGATTATACAGTATTTCCAGCAATTTGTCATTTTCTACTACAGAGAAAGAGAGGGAAGTTTTTATTTGATGTTTCAAATTTTTTAGAGAGATTTTTGATATAGGGCATGTGTGTTTGCCACAGACAGAGAGACAGAGATTCAGAAAGCAAGAAATCACTCCTTATGGGGGATGGTCACTCCACAATCCCTTCTCCTCCATACTCTTCTTGGGATTTTGGGCATGCACACACACACATCCAGCATGAGTTTGAAGCCAGATCCGAGACTAAAACTGCAGTTGACTAGGCAGAAGTCCAGTGATATAACAATTACACCATCTGCTGGTCCCAAGGATGACAGGGAAATTAAAAACCAATTGATATACTGTATTGTCTGCCTTCTAACCAGTTAATACTAAATGGGAGCATACAATATGCTTAAACTTCGCCCCATACTTTCCCAGAAACAAGTGATTAAAGAGAAAATAGCCAAAACTACAAACATAGTATTTCCATCTTTGTAATTATGTAGGGGTAAAGAATGGAATATGCTGGGAAAAAAAAAAAAGGAAAAATCTTTACTTACTTGCATCATTTTGAACAACAGGTTAACATCATTACTGTTTGTGTAATAAGGTCTATTTCGGATAGAAATAATTCCCTAGGTAGTTTTTAACAGAAGGATTCTAAATTTAGAACAACAAAATGACAATCACTATGTATATAAATGAAAAAAGAATACAGCCACCAACAAAGCAGTTCCTACAATAACTGAGACGACTAGTTTTCTAATTGACCTAGTCACCCCTAGTCTCTATCTCAACCCATTTCTGGGCTGCTCCTAAAATGATTCTTTGCGTACATGATGATTTCGGCTGTTAGAGCTCTTTGATAGCTCCAGTTCTACAAGATAAAGCTGAGCTACCCTGGAGCCTGCCAGGCAAGGCTGTGCCTAGCTGCCTTTCCAGATCCACACCCTGCCCTTTCATACCTGATGCCTTTTCAGAATTTCAGCCTGGTGAACTTGAACTCTGTGTTTTCCCTGACTCTTTGACTTAGTTAGGCTCATCTGTGTATTATATACTAGCAACTAATACTTTGCAAGGCCAGATGCTCTTGGAGGGGTTGTTTACTTTGTGCCATCAATTAGCAGATTGCCTAGTATGCATGCTGAGTTAACAACAAAAGGTAGCCACATTATTTCCCACTTGGGCAGAGCTTTCTTTTCCCTTTTTTTAAGGAAGAGATTTTTGCTACAGGGTATGAACGCTTGCCAGAGAGACAGAGAGATAGAAAGCAAGAAATCATCCCCTGGAGGGATGGCCATGTCACAATTCCTTCTCCATTCTCCTCCCAGAATCCTGAGCATGTATGCACAAGCACCCTTCATGATTTTGAAGTAACTAGGTCTGGGACTCAACCCATGGTGGTCAGTCATGTGGGAGTCCAGCAACGTAACCACTCCGCCATCTGCTGGTCCTGGGCAGAGCTTTCTTAACTCAAAATTAATAGTCCTAATACATTTTATTGGCTCCAAATTATTACCTGTAAGTCTGAGGCCACATTTGGCTAGTCACATTTTTCTGTAGGTAGGCAATATGAGGATGTATGTATATAATATAGAAAAGAAAGATCTATATGGAATTCCTGCTAAAGTTGGTGAGACAAGATGAATTCCATTTTTGATAGATGAACACATGAATCACACCAAATCACTTTCATATAAATATGTTTTATTGCAGAGAAGTTATCATTATTTACATGCTACAACACATCACAACATAAATTTACCAAATATTTCATGGTGGATGCTGTAGGTTTCAGATAATATTTTCAGAAGAACCACAATTAAGTGAAAAGACTTACAGCTTTATTGACTCTACAACTCTCAGTTGCTAATGCTAGAAGTCAAAGGCAGTGTTTTGTTTTTTTTTTTTCAATCCTACCTGTCATCACTTGCATGCAAAAATCTAGGAAGCAAATACAAGAGAACTGTCGAGTTTCAAATCCATATTGCCACCAAGGTTTACGATGGGTTGAGTTATAATTCATGTTGTAAAGCATTTAATTCTTGCATAAAATATACAGTTCTATTAAGACTGGTATAAATCTACTTATTTATAAACCCTGGCTTAAAAACAAGGACAGGATGCAGCCTGCACATGCACTGAGAAGGACAACCTAGCAAATGTTTGCCGCCTTAATGGTGTTTATTCACTTTCTTTTTGTCATAAATCTGGGAAAATAACCTCCAGAATGGTAGGGTGGAATTTCTCTTGGTGATAAGTAACGGCAATGAAACTCTAGGGAAGACCCTAGGCACTCTTACTGATTTATGCTGGTGGAGAATAATCTCTGAACTGTAGAATTCCCTAAGGTATCCTTTGGCAAGTCTTCTGTAAGTCATGTCTCTGGCAGGATCATCCTGAAGTGCAATAAAAGTCACTGATGCCTGACTGCCTCTCTCAGAAAGTGAACCGAGTGCTAGCTCATCTCAAACTTAAGTGAAACAAGTATGTGGGTCTAAAAACTCCAAACCAAATTCACAAGTACACCTATAAATAAGGTCACCAAGCAGATTGGCCTTGACTGGAAAGGAAGAGATGAAAGAAATAAATGAAGGGAACACAAAAATAGAATTTCTCTCGCTCTCTCTGAACCTCTCCCACCAACCTGAGTAATGCACCAAGCAAGCAAATGGGTGAGGAGGATTCGTGCACAGCTTTGCAAAATGGTGACATGCTCATTTACTCCTGAATAAAAGTCACTGAGAAAATTCTGATGATGAACACAGAGAATTCTGTTTTAACCTTCCACTGAGAATAATCTTCTCTAAGAACAGCTCTGTATCCACCTTTGGATTCCCCTTTCCTATCATTTATCCTTCTAGCATGTTCTCCTGCTGCTCATGAAATGAAAAATGGTTCTTTAGTCTGGAAATGTCCTGGCCAAATAAGCAGTGATACTTCAGTGTGTAGAGTGGCAGAAAAGGAAGTATTGGTTCTATTTTGAAGTGATTCGTCTTTATATAAAATGAGACTAAGCTTTGAAATCTCATTGCATGATCCTATCAGTTGGGCTAAGTCAGCAATTTAGGATTTTCATGCCAAGAGATCAGTGCAGAATGCGCTAAGTCTTAGAAAATATGCTTTGGGGGATGTTTTATGTTGCAAATAAATCTTACACTTTACATTTCGAGCTAGGTGGCTCACAATGGCAATTTGCAGGACTTGTAAGTTTTCCAGTGCTTGGGAAAATGAAGAGCCCATATCACCTTATAGGCTTTCAATAAATCAGATTATAAAACCTCTTTGGGATTTGAGCCCAGCAAGTTCTATTCTAGCTGAAGCAATGAATAAGAGTTTATGAGAATAAATAGTTTAAGGTCATTTAAAATATTATATTTTCAATATGTATAATAAAAATATATCCATTCAATGATCTCAATGCTATCATAATTTTTCTCTTTAAAAAAATAATCCCTTGAAAGTGCTATCAGGAACTACCTCTCCCTCTTTATTTTGAAAGGCAAATTTCCTGTTCTGTAGTACTGCTATACTTCTCATGTCATTCCTAGAGTCTTCCCTGTCCAGTGGTAATAATAATGCACAGTATATTTTTTCTGACTCTTAGCTTTTCCCTAAGGAAATGCTGCTAAGTGTGAAATACTGAAAGAGTAAAAGGGACAACTGATCAGAATGACGGCGTCTGTTTCTGACTTTGAACAAACAATGGGTAAGTTGTCCTTAACTTATTGAGACATGTAGCTAAGTAGGACCACTTGCTCTTCAATATTAACAAACTTTCTGAGTCCTAACGAGAAGTGCAAAACAACTCAACTTGTATTAAAAAAGAAAAACAAAAGCCCTGATTAAGACAGTATAACAAAACCATAATGTGAAGTAATAGAGTCAAATCCAAATTCACAATATATAAATCACAGCCAAAACTAAATTTTTTCTTTATCATAACAGTTATGGCTTCTCAAGCCAGAGAAAGCTTACGGTACTTCAAGAATCAACTGAAGTTGGTAGATAGTAGGTATTCTGTATGCTGCAATAACAATTGAGTAGCTGTAGATTGCATAAATGTGTTGTGTCACATAATATCAAAGTTATTTGCAAAAATTATATAATCTGGAATGCTTGGATATGAGACACAACAATGTACTGAAACATACATAATAAGGAAATGAGAGCAACCATTAATATAAAAGGTATTTTGGGGATGCATTAAGTTAGCAGTGCTATCAAGGTTAAATAGGTAATGGAAGTTCTTTTCTGACAGCTACTTAAAACTTCATCATGTAGGTCTATATTTTTTCTTCTTTGCAAAATTGCATACATCTTCTGTGTGTCCTGGTTTGCCTTGCTTACACTCTTCAAAGTCCCATGGGTAAACAGGGATCAGGGCAGACACTGAGGGTTATTTCCCTTAAACATGCTGAAATGGAAAGGTTTTCCTAGTGTTACCAGGGGAATGACTTTTCATAGCCAAAGTCTGATTTTTCCATCATGATGTTGTTGCACCTACCTCCCAGTCTTCTTCAGCCCATGTTTCTAAACTCACTTCACTATCTGCCATATTTCCTTCCCTTAAAAATTACTTTTTTGGGACTTTGTGATTTTCATATCTTCCATCTTATATCAAATTCAGGCTTTCTTCCTTTTCCTTTTCTTCCGGGAACGCTACACTTTGGATGGATCCCAGACCTCTTATTTCCGAGGTCCTGTTATCTTATTTGCACTTAAAGCAGAAGAAGCTGGTAATGCTACACTTCTTTCAGTATTTGGTTGATCTGCGGTCTCAAACTCCCACGGACACACCTCAGCTCGTGATGTTAAAGGTTGCCGGAAGTTATTACTTGGCTTATAGGAGCCGGGCGCATTTTCCACAGAGGAAGATGTCTTTTGTTCCTGGTCTCCTGTTTGGTTGCGATTTCCGTTCTCGACTTTCGGGGCTACAACTCTGGGCGGCAGTTCTTCATACTGCCCAGCACACACATTGGTTGTGGCCTGCTGGTCTCCGTTCTCATCTTTGGCTCTCCCTGAGAGAACTGGAGTCTTGGAAATCAGATGTTTTTCCTCTTCGAAAAGGGACTGACCTTGGCTCTCCCAAGGGCATACTTCAGCCTTATCTACATTCTTCTGATTGAATTGCTGACATACTTCAGCTGCCTTAGGCTTGTGGTGAGATTTCTCCTTCAAGGAAAAAGTTGGATTCTTCTCTATTTCAGAAGCCGCAATAGATACGTGTTTTTGGACTTTTGATTCTGAAGGCACAGGACCCGGGGCCAGGTCATAAATCTCCCAAGGACACACTTCCCCGATGTCAAAATTGTCCTTTGTCTGGGTGGTACCTGGGGTCAGGTCAGAATTGGCAGTGGAGGGGTTGGCCCTTTGTTGTTTCATAATCCCAGTTTTCTGAGGCTTTCTTGGCTCCTCCAAATGATTGGAGTTCTGCGGGGCAGAATCTTTAGTCTCTGTGTTATCTGGATTGGAGTATTTTCTGTTTGTCTCTTTATCTTTTGGCATAGGTTTCTGGGATTTAGCACGATCTTCCACACCTGATGTTTGGGTTTTCCCAGCTAGTCCAAGAGTCTTCTCCTTGGCACTTGCTATGACACTCAGTGACTTTTGTAACATAGATGTTCGTGGATGCCCAGGCTTCTTCTCTGAGCTGAGGTTGTGGGCGCTTGCTGACTTACACACCAAAGGCACCGACTCCGTGGACTCAGCCTCACTATCTTCTCTAAGTTTTTGTGTTAGTTTTTTGCCTGACAGAGATTCCAGTGTGGAATTTTCTGTGGCTTCCTCTTCTTGGCTCTCTGTAGGTAGGCTATTGGATTCTTCTGTTTGTTCTCTCACATGGTCATAAGTACTATGGGATTTCTTGAGTGAGAAGACCCGATTTTTAAGGGATTCCTCCTTGGGTCTCCCAGTATTACTTGAACTCTCTGGTGGGTTCTTCCTGACAAGGGCAGTGCTTTTGGCTGTACCGTGGTCAGCAACTTCCTTGTCCTCTTTGGAGCACTGTCTGCTGACGGTCTCTGGAATCTCAGTGATGCGCCTCATAATGGAACGGCCCAAGCCCTTCTTTGAGCACCGCTTTTTCTGGAGGTGGGGATTATTTGTGATCATCTTCTTCCTTTTATATATTTCCAGTTGGGCATAGAGTTTCTTCAGCTCATCCTGCCGGAACAAAAGCAAATTCAAAGAGGCATAGAATTTAGTGGTTCAGCCAGATAACATCACTAACTGGTATTGCAGTCAATAGTCTGAGCTCTTTAGGAGAACTGTTCTACAGATTTTCCTGACATCTGGACTCACCAACTTTCTCCTCATTCTTACTCTCTGATTATTTTGTGCTTTGTTTCACATAAAGTTTGAACTTTAGTACATGAACTCATGCCTTATACCCTTGCTTCAAGGAGCAAGCATTTTGAAATTTCACATTATGTACACCAGACTAAGCCTGAGCCATGACAAATAATAGCATATTGTTTACTGAGGAACTGTTTTCCCAAATAGTACTGGAAGCATCATGGGGTCATGATGTTAAATTAGGTTTAGGGAAGAACAGTCCATCAGCTAGTAAAAGCATCTCTTCCTTCAGATGTTAGTATGTTGTCACAGATTATTTTACATAATCCAGGCTCTCTGCTCATGGGTCTATCTTATCTTTCCATCAGCAAGATGTCATAAACTTGTCCGAAGGGACATGTATAATCAGTTCATCACCATGACTGCCAACAAGTCAGTTAAGAGTATTTAGGCTGACTAGACTACTAGAAGAGTTGAAATAGCCTGGCATTCTATATATACCATAATTATACATTTAAAAACTGGATCAACTCTGCATTTGATGTGTTTGATTCATACACAAACATTCATTCTCTAACACATATATATATAAATATAACACATGCACAAGCACCCATATACACCTGTCCCCTTCCATGCTTGCCCATATAATGGGCCTGTCTGGAAAAGGAAAGACATTACCCGAATGTCCTCTGGATCCAAGCTGTGCTCACTCCAAGCTGAATTGATACTGCTGTTCAGGTAGGATCCAGATCGGCCCATGTCTAGCTCATCTTCATATGCTTCTGTAGCAATATCATCTCGTGGGTTATTGCTTGAATGTGAAAACTGCAATAGATATTCAATATGAGCTACTGACATTATCATAAGACCTAACACATTTTAAAGGTTCTAATATTAACATCATTCCTTCAGCATGATGAATTCATTCACTAAACACTTCCCAAAGATTAGCTATTTGTGTTTTGCTTTCCATGTTACAATGCTAGAGGTCTTTAGTGAGTCAAAATTAACTCTTGGTTTCCCTTGAACTCAAATTTTTTTTTACCTTTTACTCTTCCGCAGGGGCCCAGTGCTAACTTATATAACTCCTCTTTCATGATGCATTTAAATTTTGAAAATAAAAAAAATAAGAATCTAAGAAATGATCTCTAAGAGGAGTAATTCAGACTCACTGGCCACTGGATGTGAACATTTTGGGGGCGGTCTATCTTGTACATGTTGTTTGTTTCACACAGGAGAGGATGTAGTTCATCTATGGGCACAGCTGACTCTAGGGATAGGATTGTGACTTTCAGCCTAATACACATGGCTTCAAGAAAGCTATTTTAAAAACTCAGTGGACTGGTGATCCAAATTCCAGTCTTAATTCTACCATCAGTGAGATCTCAGACAAGACATGGAAACTCTCTGGGGCAGTGTCCTCTCAGCCTATAGACCTCTGACCTAGATGGTATCTAAGTTTAAATGGAAAGATCCACTGGAGTTCGTCATTATTTTCAAGTTTTTCTTTTATCATATTTTGATTATTTATATGTAAACTTTTAATATTTTTGGTTCAATGTCCTACTGATATCTCTATTTTTTTTTTTATAGAGATGTTTGCTATAGGGCATGCATGCTTACTGGAGAGAGAGAGATAGAGAAAGCAAGAAATCACCACTTAAGGGGATGACCATACCACAGTCCTGCCTTCATTTTCCTCTTGGAATTTTGGGCATGCATGCACATGTGCCCTGTGTAAGTTTTAAGCCACCAGGTCTGGGATTCAAACTAAAGTCAGCCATGTAGGAGTCCAGCACCTTAACTACTAGGCAACCTGCTGGCCCAATATCTGTATTCTTTAACTGGAGAAGTCAGGAAGAGTGAATAGGATAAATGACGGAAAGCAGAAAGGAGAATCAAAGCAATCCAGTCACACCTTCCACAATGTGTAAACCCAGTGGTCATCCTCTGAAAATTGAGAGAACATCTTCAAGAACATAGATTCTCTTCTCCCAGCTAATGCTCAGGTCAGATATGCCTTTGAAAAGTTGACAGATCATGCTTTGATGATACAGAGATATTTTAATGTCACCTTTTGTTAAAATATTTGGCTAGCTAGATGAACATGTATAATGGATGACATGATTCTCTAAGTAGTAGGCAATGCTTTATAACTGGAACTGACTGATCACAGAAATTGTGATCTTTCCTTTACTATCCTACCTAAAGGTATGGGCCCACTTGAATGAAGGCCATAAATGATGAGTGTGGGGACCAGCAGTTAGAGTAATGGCTATGTCACTGAACTCCCACATAGTTGACCGCGGTTCAAGTCCCGGACCCGGTGGCTTAAAACTCACGCCAGGCACATGTGCGTGCCCAAGATCCCGAGAGGAGAATGGAGGAGAAGGGACTGCGGTGTGGCCATCCCCCCTGGGGGGGGATTTCTCGCTTTCTATCTCTCTGTCTCTCTCTGTCTGTCTGGCAAGTGCACGCGCCCTATAGCAAAAACCTCTCCAAAAAAAAAAAAAAAAGATGAATGTGATGGAGTCTCTGCCTTCCAAAATCTCATATGCTACTGCTACACTATCTGGAGGATATATATAAGAGAATTATTTTTCTTCAGCAAAATCTTAAGAGATAATTATAAATTTAAGAAACAGAGACATTTGTTGGGCCAGCAGGTGGCATGGTGGTTAAAGTGCCAAACTCCCTCATGGTCAACCATGGTTTACATCCTAGACCTGGCTGCTTAAAAATCAAGTCAGACCCATATGAAGGATAATCTTGCCGGGTACAATATTCCTTCATATCAAAAGACAAGGACATTCTCAGATTAAACAAAACCTGAGAGAATTTACCAACCAGACCAGATCTCCAAGAAGTTCTCAAGGGAGTGCTATGTCAGGAAAACTAAATACAGACACACAGAAGTAGGAGTTCAAAAACAACTAAGAGAATGGCCAGCTTACTGGTAGGGACAAGTCTGGAGTTGAATATTACAGCTCAGAACTTAATCAGGAAGATCAGACCACAACAGAAAATAGATTAAGTACATGAGACCGAACTGGTGAAATAGAATCTTACACTTTTGACTAAAACATTACTGATTTTCTTCTAGGCTTGTTTTCCGGATTTAAGGATCTTTGTTTTGTCTTGAGCTGTCAATAGGCTCATGTACCTACTATCTGAACAGAATCCTAACCTGTTTCCTGACTTTAAGTTTTAAGCAAAACTCTCTTAGCATTTCTTTTATTTTTATTTATTAAAGCTAAAACTACTTTTCTTGAAATTAATAAATATATATAAAACTACCTATTTAATGACTACAGTAAGTTATATAGCATCAGCTAGGTGTTACTTTATGGTATATTCATTCTACTCAAAGTTTCACGCCTAAGGTCAGGCATGTGTTCACAGATACGTATATATTAGCTGAACTTGCTATTGAAAGTAGATTATTTAAGAAATTTTGTGAATCACTAAAACGGGGGGAGGGGGAAAGGGAAAAATAAGGAATGGAAAGCAACTGTAGACACCAGAGAGTGTAAGAGGGGGGTGGAAAATGGCAGAGGGTGAGAAATAGAGGTAAAACACACACGTACACACACGCATACACATATAAAATCTAGAAATGGACAATTATTGGTGATGATAATATGTATGACTAAGCCACTATGCAGTATATTCTAGATGGGAAACCACATTTTGTATGCTGTGACTATGCTCAGTGAATGAATGTAAAATAAATAAAGAAATTAAAAATTAAAAAAATTAAAAAACAAAAGAAAGAGAAACCTCCAGGGAAAAAAATGAAGCCAGGCACTTGTGTGTGTGTGCCTGGAATCCTAAGAGGAGAAGGGAAGGAGGGGACTATGATGTGGTCAACCCTCCTGGGGAGTAGTTTCTCGCTTTCCCTCTCACTGTCTCTCTTTGACAGGTGTATGCACCATATGGCAAAAACCTGAAAAAATAAAGAAGAAATAGAGTCATTTGTCAGATATTGTCTATTCCCTGTGTTGTATTTTCTGTAGCACTTATCTCTATTTAAAATACTATTTTAAATATTTATTGTGTATTTATCTCGTCTGTTTTCTCTTTCCTCTCTTCAGAATACAGGTACCATGAAAACACAGATTTTTACCTGCTTATTACTCTTAGTTTAAGGATATAAGACAGTACATAGAAAAGCCCTTCAATAATATTGTTAAATTACCTTTTTATGGTATAACTCATCTACCATAAAGTTTGCAATTTTAGAGGGTATAATTATTTGTATGCCCAGAAAGTTGTATACCTATTAACATTATTAATTCCTAAATATTTTCATCACTCCAAAAGAAACCTTGAACTTATTAAGCAATCATTTACATTCTTCCCCTCTGACTGTGACCACCACTAATCTACTTTCTGTCTCTATAGAGTTGCTTCTTTGGACACATCACATAGATACAAGGCACAGCTTTTTGTGTCTGGCTTTCTTCACTTGGCATAATGTTTTCAAGGTTTAGCTATGTTGTAGCAGGTATTGATACTTCATTCCTTGTCATTGACCAATAATTCTATTGTATGGCTATACCACATTTTGTTTATACATTTGCCAGCTGATAGACATTGAGGTAATTTTTACTCTTTGGCTATTATGAATAATGTTGCTATGAACATTCCTGCATACTTGTTTTGGGTAAAGATATAATGTTCAGTTTTCTTTGGAGCTCAATAACAGTTTACAGAGGGAATAAATAAATATTCTGAACATACTTCCATCTAATAAATCTGTAATCATATTATGTGAAGCATTAAAATAATTAAGATAAATTACAGTAACAGATTCATCTATAAAAATTGGGAGGCCAGCCAATAGCATAGTGGTTAAGATGGCTGGATCTCACACGGACAACTGTTGAGTCCCAGACTTGGTGGCTTGATAAACATGCTGAGCACAAAATCCTAAAAGGAGAAATGGAGAAGGGATTGTGATGTAACGATCCCCATGGTAGGTACTTCCTTACTTTCCCTCTTCTCTATCTCTGTCCAGTGAGTGCACATACCCTTTGGTGAATTTTTAAAAAAGAAAAGAAAAGCTAAAAAGACAAAAAGCTAAAAAGCAAGAAAATTGTGACTGTTGTAGCTAGTTGATATAATGCAAGTAGGGCATAAAATCGGTATTTTGTTCTGTTTATAACCGTTTTGCTTTTTCAATTGCTGAATCGTAATGTTTTGGTTAATTGTGAGTTGAGGTAAATCCTCGAGTGGAAGACAAGAAATCACAATCCTGTTTTCAGCTGTGCTAACAACACTGCAGTGTGTAGGACTAATAAGATATATAGTGTTCTAACATTGTGTTGCTCTATAAGCGAGGAAAATAATGAGTATGCTATAATTTGTGTGATATGTTTTTTCCCAAGACTCCTCTATCATTTTATTTTATTTCAAGCAGCTTTCCTGCTATCAACACATAGATGAAGAAACTGAAACTCAGATCCAAAGTCTTCATTAATGTCATGTTACACAACTGGTTTGTGGCTGAGCACAAAGTTCAGCATCCTTTATTCTGAGTTCTGATCCATTTTTGCCACTTCATTATATTACCTGGATAAGTCTTTATCAGAATTCCTCATTACTGAGATTCTTTCAGATGTAATACTATAATAATTTATTTCTTATTTTTATGACAAATTCTCTGAATGTTTTAAGCAGATGATTTTTCTGAATATGAAACCAAAACAAGAGGATTCTTAGAACACAACAGACCTTTTAAAAAATTGATTTTGAGGACCAGCAGATGGCACCCAGAGTTGCTGGACTCCCACTCAGTTGACTGCAGTTTGAGTCCCGGATGCAGTGGCTTCAAACACATGCCGGGCAGGTGTGTATATGTGCCCAAGACCCCAGGAGGAAAATAGAGAAAGGACTGTGGTGTGGCCACCCGCCCCCCACCCCCGGGGGTAACTTCTCACTTTCTGTCTCTCTGGTGAGCATATGCACCCTACAGCAAAAAATATCTTTTAAAAAAATAAAAGATCTTGTGGGTCCAGCAGGTGACATGGTGGTGATGGCCGGGACTCCCACATGGCCAGCCATAGTTCAAGTCCTGGACCTGGTGGCTTGATAACCATTGTGGGCACTTGTGAGTGTGTGCCTAAAATTCCAAGAGGAAAATGGAGGAGAAGGGATTATGGGGTGGTCATCCCTCTCGGGGAGTGATCTCTCACTTTTCCTCTTATCATCTCTCTTTGTTTCTCTCTAGTGAGTGCGCAAGCCCTATAGCTAAAGTCTTTTGAAAAATGATCTTGATGTTAAGGCTATAATGAAAGCAATCTTGAACCTACAATAACTAACTGTAAGCAGCCATAAATATATTTGGGTAAGAACTGAAAGAGATGATAGCTTTTGTACAAATTTAGATATTTAAAAATTTTAAATGTTTAATAAATTGAGAACAAAAATAGATTTCCAATTTCCTAAGGAGGGAGTTTTAAAAATCTTTGTCAAGCAAATGTCTACATTTCCCTTTGTCTATAATACAAGATATATTTAAAAGGAGAAACAACTCCATTCTTATTTGAAATAAGTATCTTGCAAGAAAAAAAGTAACATTAGAAGAATACCTTTGGAATCAAAAGCAACCCAATAGTGACTGTCACAGTCAAATGAGTGTGTGCAAAATACAGCATCAACATCCAATCAGATTGAAGTCTTGAAGCAAGAACAAATCTGAAACAAGAATGCACCGAGTTAGCAATCAAGATTAAGATTTCTACTTAAAACACTGAGATACTTGGTAACTCTTTCCTTCAGTTTATTTTTGAGAAAGAAAATAAAAAAGAAATTGCTGTTTTGATGGCATATATTTTCATCACAGAAGAATAAGGGCTAAATAACCTTAATTAGGTGAATGAGATATAAACACTGGAGGCCAGCAGGTGTCAGCAAGTGGCATAGTGGTTAAGGCGCTGGACTCCTACATGGTTGACCTCAGTTTGAGTCCTGGACATGGCAGCTTGGAAATCACGTTGACGCCTGTGCATGCATGCCCAAAACCCCAAGAGGAGAATGGAGGAAAAGGGACTGCAGCGTGGCCATCCCCCTTGGGGTGTTATTTCTCACTTTCCCTCTCACTGTCTTTCTCTGTCTCTCTCCAGCAGCAGGTGCATGCACCCTATGGCAAAAACCTTAAAAAAAAAAAAAAAGTTACGAACACCTTACAGACTAATAATTCCCAAGATTATTATTTTGTATATAAACTAACTCCACAAAAAGAAACACTGAATATATATGAATTCTAATGAAACATAATTATAAACTAGTGGATTCAGGCAAATTTGGGCTATAAGGCATATACAAGTAACTGTTAATTCCAATATTCTTTTTTTTTTTAAGAGAGATTTTTGCTATAGAGCATGTACGCTCATCAGAGAGACAGAAAGTGAGAAATCACTCTCCAGGGGGATGGCCATGCTGCAATCCCTTCTCCTTTATTCTTCTCTTGGGATGCTGGGCATGCATGCATGCATTCCCAGCGTGAGTTTGAAGCTGCTGGGTGTGGGACTTGAACTGCAGTCGACTATGTGGAAGTTCAGTGATGTAACCATCTGTTGGTTTCCCAGTATTTTTTATTTAAAGGTATTAGTTAAAATTAAGATAAAAAGGCAGCTGACTAGTAACAGAGGTAAGACATGATTGTGAAGTTGACTCTGTGAAGTTGACTCACATGAGAAGATTCCGGCTTTGCATCCAAAGACCTCTCTGAGTACAACGGGTACAGTCATGCCGATGACCCGGGGCTGGCTAAAGTTGGCGGGGGGGGGTTTGTGGTATGAAGACTTTGTTGGGAATGCTCTCTCTCTCTTACTCATAAAAAAGTAAAACATTTAAAAAATCACTTAAAAAAGTGGATAATTATCTGTCTTTGTGAACGATCCTAGAGGTTTAGTTGCTAAACACTATAATATAGAATAAAATGAATATACTTGTGGTTTATAAAATATACCTTTAAGATAAGTTGTTCTAACTTATCAAATTGTCTTAAATAATTCAAAATGTAACATTTAGCATCTTATCTTACTGAGGAATTTATAAAGCTATGTTCCAGAATGGCCCTCCAGGAAACATGGTGGGGTGAAATTGGGTACTAAGGTCTAATCTAGTAAAATTGGCATATTTTCATAGATTAGTAGTTACATGTATGTACATTTAAGTTCACATGTAAAGACATCCTTATGCAGAAACTACAGGTTGCTTTCATAAGGGTCATTTTGCAATTATATCCTTTCAATTTCACCATCTATTATTTATCTGTAAAAGCTAGATATGAGATTTTACTGCTTTTAGAATTAGAAAATTAAAACTTTATTTCAATAATGCACATCATCAACCTTTTAAAATTACCATCCTAAAAAAATATTCAAAGTATCCTAATCACAAATTAAACATAAATGGCTAAAAAGAAAAGAAACTAATTTGTTTTATCTACATTATATCTTATTCGTGAAAATTTACTAAGTAATTTAAAATTAATTATTTGAAACAAAATTGTCATCAAGGGGATTTCTTCCTCATTTTCATCTCGACCCTTCCCCTCCAGGAACATCAGGATGAAATGCAAGTTTAAGAGTTCTCCAGCATGGAGAGAGATTTTCCTGCATCTGGAGATGCAAACAAAATAGACTCATAACATACACAGAAGTGCTAAATGCTCACATAGTTCATGTCTTACTAGAAAGGACTTTCTGAACTCCTGGGTCCTGTGTGAAAAAAAGTAGCCATGGGAACCAGCACTTAGCGTAATGGCTATCTCGCTGGACTCCCACGTAGTCGACCGCAGTCCCCGTTCCGGATCCGGTGGCTTAAAACTCACGCTGGGTGCGTGTGCGTGTGTGCCCAAGATCCCGAGAGGAGAATGGAGGAGAAGGGATTGCAGCGTGGCCATCCCCCGTGGGGGGTGATTTCTTGCTTTCTGTCTCTATGTCTCTGTCTGTCTGGCGAGTGCACTCGCCCTATAGCGAAAAACCTCTCCATAAAAAAAAAAAGTAGCCTTACACATGCCTTGAATATGACTGAATATTTTCTTGGTTTGGGGCTGAGATACCTATGATATAGTACGTCTGGCTTAGGTAAGCTTTTTTCTTTTTAACTTAGTAACACATTATAGTCTCTGAGGCATAGAAGAAACAAAAGAGGTCTTTAAAGGTTCATGATGAACTTATATTATGAAAAAACTATGCATGGATTTCAAAATTTTTTTGCACCAAAATAAATTTTAAGTCCAATTTCCTATGAACGTTTTGAAGTTCCCTCATATAATGTGCCCTGAAAACATGATACAGTCCTGGGGATGGCAGGTGGCGAGGTGGTTAAGGTGCTGGACTCCCACATGGCTGACTGTGGTTTGAGTCCTAGTCTTAGAAGCTTGTTTCCTCACTTTCCCTTTCTCTCTCTCTGCTCAAGTTAAAAATAATAATAATAACAACAAGTAAAAGAAAATAATTCTTAAAAAATAACAGTCCATGTTATTGAGTCATTACTGGTAATAAAGCCAAAAGTTACACCCAAGGAGAAGGATTCACAGCCTAAGGATACCTCAAGTACTGTGAACTCCTATCTAATGCTAACATCAGCGAACCTTTCTTCTAGTGACAATGTCTAGAATAAAGAATGGCTGGCTGCATGTGTTTTAAATTGAAACAGTAAAGCTTTGAAGGAAAAAAAAAACACTTAGAAATATACTGACACCGACTACTTTCAAATTAATCAGCTTTAAATTACTTCCAGTTTTGTGTGTGTGTGTGTGTGTGTGTGTGTGTGAATTCTGACTTAGAAATATCTTGACAAAAATTGGGTTTTGCAGTAATTTTAAGGCTTCATTCTAAAAAGAGCATTTTTAAAAAGAATTATTTTATTTAACTTTATTTATCCACTTATTTATTTACTTTAATTTGACCAGAGAGGGACAGAAAGAGAGCGAGCAGGCAAGCCACTGGGTCCAAAACTCAAATCGTGGTCAGCCATGTGGGAGTCCAACACCCTTAACCACCACACCACCTAAAAGGAGCATTTTGACTTTTAAAAATAGGTCTTAAAGGCAGAAGCATAAAACTATTTGAATTTTGAGGTTAAAAATAGAACAAACTTTTTAAAGTCTCACACTTGCCAAAGATTTTCTTTTATGTCTAACACTGAAAATAAGTAAAGGATTAGAACAGACTTGGAAAAATGCCTTCTGCATTATTTACTCTTGTAGACTTAATCCTTTGATCTTAGTTTATTTTTGTACAATCTGACAATCTGGCAAGAATGCAGGTACATTCGTATATAGTATGTAGTCATAATTTTAATATATTTATGTGAATATATAAGTATACATACACACATAAATTTCTGTTTAAAACATAAAAGAAAGTATGTGTATGTATATGTATGTGTGTATGTGTATGTACATATGTGTGTTTGTGTGTGTATATAAATATATGCCATAGTAATAGAGGATATCTTTTCTGAAAGCCTTATTTAATATTATTTCACTCAAAGAAAAAATGAAGATGGATTCAGCTGACTGAAGTTATTACTTCTGATTCTTGTACTTTATAAATATTGTAACCAATATATATGTATCTATGCATGAATTCTATCCATGAGTAAATACTGTTTCTTTGATTATTATTGCCTATTATTGCCCTCTACCTATGAGTATTGTATAAATTTACTATTCTTGATCCTTTATGGCCATACAGTATTTAAATTTCCAAGCGAGTAGCTAATATACACTATGATTCTGTAAAGCTGGTATACCACAATTTGATACAATCTGATCTCTGTAGAAAGATAGGTCAAATTTGGGACTTAAAATATAGGGGATCTTGTTAATGTTTTTTTTTAAGCTTGCCTAAAGAAAAATATCAAAGCCTACCAAAGCAAGTTACATTTTCTGTGTTACCTGTTATCATTGGAACACTCCCCACCCCAATTCAAAACTGAGAGTTTCTACACAGCTGTCCGACAGAGCATTTATCTTCTGAGTATGCCAAGCTTACTCAACATTCCATCTCCCAGGTTTAGCATGAACCATGCAGAGTGTGTGGCTATGTGAACCCAGAGCAAATTTATGATTCTTCTGGCTAGGCTTCTGGGCTGATTTGGGCTCTGGAGGAGAGACTTCAAAGCAAAGTAGAAAAGCTCTCTCCAATCAGTATTTAACACATAGCTCCTATTACCTTGTCCCAATACTAATATAGTATTTTCTAATGTGTGGCTTCAGATATCAGGAGAGGTTTGAGGACTTCATGATCAATTAAGTTTGGAAAATGTTGTTTAAACAAAGTGAAATAGATGATCCTACAGCCAGACTTCTCAGCTTATTAATCTGCATTATGAACATCTGAAAAAGGAAGCTATAAAATGCAGTGTATCATAAATACACACTTATATAAAAATGCCTAAAGGCAATATGGTAGTATTTTAGCAGTATTTATCTCTGGGTAGTTTGATTAGGGAGTTATCTGATTTTTTTTCTTCATACTTTTATATTTCTGTTATGATTATGTATCACTTTACTAACAAATTATTCTTTAAAAATTTCACTTAAAGATTATTTACCATGCCTACTTCTGAAAGAATCTGAAGCAGTTTAGGGGTTGGGAATCCATTGCTGAAAAATATATTTAATGATGAAAATGGAGCAGAGTAAATCTTAAGGTAAAATGATGATATTTAGGCAACTGCTTTGAACACATTTAATTACCTGGGCAATTAATTTGCTTCTAAGAAAACTAGCCACTTACTACAGAGCCAAAATGGAAAAGCCTTTGTACTACAATCCCTTCTCTAACCAGCCCTTGTACAGCTCTGTACCTCTCTAGTTCATTTGTTAACATAACATTTAACTTATATCTGGTGTCGAGAGGCATGCCTTTTAGATTTTGAAACATACATGATTGATAATCTAGAAAGAAACAACACAGCAGCAGCTCTTCTGGGAAGACAGTCTGGGAAATGACCAGGCTGTGGAGTTCTGGTACCATGACATGTTCTGCGGTGCTCAGTACATTGTGGACACCGGCCATCCCCTGTCAGACCCTGGAACTCTAGTGTGAGTAGAACTGAAAAGCAGTCTACCTCTTGCTTATTTATAATTTCATATTGCCTCTCCCCTTCTAATCTCTTTATTTTTCATGTCTCTCTCTCCCTCTCCTTTCTCTCTTTCTCTCCCTTTTGGGCAAGACAGAGTAAAGAGTCCAATTCTCTTCATTCCCGGCCCCTTGATGGGATTTCCAGTATGGTCGAACTATAGATACCACATTTTCATGCTTGCAAAAAAGCTTAAAAAGTAGAAGCTGTGCCTAAGGCCCACCTGCTCTCTAGCACAATCTACTCCAAAAGAGGCAAGAGAGCATTTTCTGACTACTGCCTAAAATGAGAGATGGTAAGCATCCTGTGAAACTTCAGAGTTCCATGGCCTCCCACTCTCACCCTGGCTCCCATTCTCACTGATCTCCAGAAAGTCCAAATGTCAACAAGGGAATTGAAACAAGGGACCCTCTCTTTCTTCTGAGGGCAAAGTCAAATATTCAAAACTTCTAATTACATTCTTAAAAGTATCATAACTTTCAATATCTGTCAAGCAATTAAATCATATCTTTTCATTCCTCTTCAAAAGAAAGGATTCCAGGGACCAGCAGTTAGCATAATGGCTATATCGCTGATCTCCCATGTAGTCGACTGCGGTTCGTGTCCTGGACCCGGTGGCTTAAACTCACGCCAGGTGCATGTGTGTGCATGCCCCAGATCCCGAGAGGAGAATGGAGGAGAAGGAGTTGCAGCATGGCTAACCCCTCTGGGGATGATTTCTCGCTTTCTATCTCTCTGTCTCTCTGGCGAGCACATGTGCCCTAAAGCAAAACCCTCTCAAAAGAAAAAAAAAAAAAAAAAAAAAAAAAAAAAAAAAAAAAAAAAAAAAAAAAAAAAAAAAAAAAAAAAAAAGATAGGGTACCTATTTTTGGTCTACCCTGAAAATTTTATGTCCTTTTCAAATATGAATCAGGAGAAAATTCTTGGAAGGTAAATCATACATGCTTCATTTAGTTCACTTCATCTTATGCCACTTTCTCCCTCCTTTGTACATATTTGCTATAGAGATACAGGGGATCATCACAAAACAAGGGCGTGGCTGTACATTTCTAACCCAGAAACTGACTGTGAAAATGTGACGATATAACCTCATTACATACAATAATCTAGTCATTGATCGAAGCGGTCTTTTTTGTTTTGAATTCAGCAGAATACAGACACATAAGTTGTCCATGTAAGTATTAAGATTTTGAGAGTTTAAACCAGCATATTAAACGTGTGAAAACAGAGATGAGTTATCTATATCTACTTTATAAAAGCGTGCATGTATTGCCCTATATCTCCATAACTGAAGTGTTACATGTTCTACACAATATATAGTGACATAAGTGACTTAACAATGCAATAGCATTAAATTAACCTTCAAAATAAATGTAGGCAATAAACAACACATTAGAAGAAATGCAAAAAAATGAAGTTAAAAGAAAAGCTATTTGTTTGCCATTGCCATTCAAATAAAGGAGTCAACTTACAAAATACTATCCTTTCGAACCTTTCCAAAATTGCATCTTATCCAATTTTGCTATTTAAATTAAACTGCAACACATTAGAAAAATGAAAGTCATTCGCTAGTTCTGCAGATCACTTGCCTAATTGTATGGAATACAGCAGAGATAATGAGCTCATTGTGAACTGCAACAGTCATGTAGCGTGGCTCGTGAAATGCTGATGGAACTGTCCGTACTGCATAGCAGAGATAAACGCCCCACAAGAGGAATACAAATTCAGCTGTAAGAAGAACAAACAAACATTAGTTTGTTTCCATTAGTTTCATAGATAAAGTAAAAGCAAAATTTAAGTCTTGTAGCATGCATTTTGTGTCAACTATAGAAACATAAGTTTAGTTAGAAATAGATGCATATAAAGTATCATTCACCTATAAATACAGATGCCGTATGCTTTATTTTTAAATTTTAGTCATTGTACAGAAGATTTTTCAAAGGTATTATTGTTGCTGTTAAATAGCATTGGGAATCTAAGAATTTCTCTGCTAATACCCAGCTCTTTCTTTAAATAAATTGTTTTTCCACCAACCCCAACCAGGTTTAGAGTAGCATGTTCATGCGCTATCTGGGTCACAATAGCATTATCAAGGCAACAGAAAGCTGGTGATATTTTTATATACAGTGCCTGCAAATTCAAGTTTTAATTGCACTGAGCCCAGCTCAAAACGTAAAGATTCTCATTGTCAAAAATGTGAGAACCTAGGTTGCTCAACATTCAGTGGGTTATTTTATAACTGGGATTTTGTTTCTTTCCATGTGATAGAAATCAATCTTTCGTGGGTAGAGTGCTGTAAGGTTTAGTAAAATTCACAATCACCTCATTTGATCACTGAAGTCAGAACGGCACTGTGTGGCAGCTAAAAATACGGATTTCAGAATCATATTAGACCTAATCTGAACTTGATGCTAACCCTAACTGGACAAATGCAGGCAATTTCTTAACCTCTCTGGCCAGTTTCTTCATTGGGGAAAGTAGGGTAATACAGTTTCATATTTCATGGGATTCTTTGCTAAACAAATCCAATAATGCATAGTTTCTGTCACATAGTAATTGTTAAATAAATGGTTCGATTATTCAAGTGTTCATTTGACTTTTTCTCAAACCAAGTATTGCTATTTTAACTCATTTTGACCAATAATCTTTATAAAGCATTTAATCTGTTTTAGTGACATGACCTTATTGGAAGATAATATCCTATTAATAAGGAGAAACCTCTAATTTAGAGAGAATATTTCATCAAATTCATTACCAAAATGTTAACTTCCTATACACTGAAGGTACACTCAAAAACCAAGTTACTCCTGACAAAATTTCAGCATATTTCTATCAGCACCTAAACCCTAGGCAGTGCCCCCGTTGTTGAAAATCCCCTAAGTAAACACATCTGTCAGGAACCACTCTGAAACCCTGGTGTGGTGAAAAGCCAAAGGAAAGAATAAACTTCACTCCAGGCTCTCTAAGAGATTTGGTGTACGTTCAAATGATTCGGTATGAGGGCAACTGGCCATGTGCTGACTGTTGTTTCCAGCCAAACTCTACTGAGTTGGGAAAAGGAAATCAGGAGATGCTGCTCACAACCGTTTCATTTCCTGACGCTTATATTTCTGCCCAGGGCAGCACATTCTTTGCTTGGGTTTGGGATCTCAGATCTACTTTGCATTTCCACATTTCTTTTACTGAGTTATATTTCATGTGTATTTATATGTCACTGTCCACATTCCAACCTTTGCCTAAGCCTCTATCAGTTCAGTCCATATTTGTTGCTATTATTTGTCAGGGGCCCATCTAAATCTGGCTTTCTCCAGTGGTAATCCATTCTCTGTAACTTTGACATGTTCATTTTTCTTTTTCTTTTTTTTTTTTTTTGGAGAATTTTTTTTTTCTGCTATAGGGCGCACCAGACAGACAGAGAGAGACAGAGAGACAGAAAACGAGAAATCACCCCCCAGGGGGGGATGGTCACGCCGCAATCCCTTCTCCTCCATTCTCCTCTCGGGATCTTGGGCACACATGCACATGTGCCCGGCGTGAGTTTTAAGCCACTGGGTCCGGGACACGAACCACGGTCAACTACGTGGGAGTCCAGTGACATAGCCATTACGCTAACTGCTGGTCCCATGTTCATTTTTCTGAAGCTTCATGTTGATTGCATCAGAATTTCTCCAAATCTCTGCCAGTACATTTGAGTGAACACATTCACATCTCCTTTAGAGGAGTCACTCATGTCTGCTTCTGACGCTGGAAATAATTCCTACTTCAGCTTATATTGCTTAGACCCTGACTTTTAGTCTGGTCCCTACCTCCAGGTAAGCCTTTTATGAGATACTCATGCATCTTTATTCAGAAACTTCAGCAGCTCACCTACAGTGTGCAAAGACTTCATCTTGGCCTCCATAAGTGACTTCATATTATATATGTAATATGATCTCCCAGGGCTCCCCAGACCTGGGAGTTCTCATTGTTCTCTGAACACTCTGAAGATTCATCTTGCTTCTGAGTCTTTCCTCACACTATTAGTCCCCCACAGAAATTTCTTCTTATTCACATTTGCAATTCTCAATCAAGTTTTCAATGTCTAGTTCATGTCCTACTTCTATCCCAAAGCCTCAAGAAATGATTCTAATATATGTTGAATTTTCCAGCTGCTAATACCTTAGAGTTTTTTACTATCTATACAACACAACATGGAGAATAATGTCACACAGTACATACTTAGGAGAAAATTGTCCATGGATCTCGTTAGCCACTTCTCATCATTCCACTCCTTTAGAGCAAGAATTGAGTCTTTTTTTACTACCTTTGCTCACGTGGTGATAAAATTAAATTTGTTGAATTGAATGACTCTAAAAATATCAGGCTTGTGCTTAAGTGATTAGAGATGTAGACTTTCTGTTACTTTGCTACTTCATCTAACATGGCAAGACCTGTTAAAGCAAAATAATCAGTAGGCCCGCCTGAGGTTGTTTCTATATGGGTGAGCCTTACACAAGCAATCAGAAATTTAACTTAGTGGCATTATTTGAGGCTAATTTTGAAAGGATCTTCAGCCAATCATTAACAGCCTGCTAGCTGATTGTTTCTATCCTTTGTGACCTTCCATTGGACATGCCCAAATAAGGCAAATGCCTAGCCATAGCCAATCAAGTAGTTTCTTTACTTTGCTTTCATGTTCAGTCTATAAAAGCTCATTGCTCAAGCTGCTACAGTGAAGCCCTTCTAGTTTTGATGCTTCCTGATCCATGAATCATCATTCCTTGCTCAAATAAACCCTTAAATTTACTTTACTCAAGTTTTACTTTTAACAGGCCTAAAAGTAATCTAAAGAACATACTGGCATTGTTATAAGCAGTGGTACTGTCTATATAATTTCCTAGGCACCACCAAGTGTGGTACTATGGTTGACACAAAGAATGGAAAATGCAAAAATATTATTAAGCAACACTAGCACAAAAAATATGCTAGAGTCCAAGGATTCATGTGAAGCTGCATTATAAAAGCATGCATTAGGGGTCAGCAGATGGCTTGGTGGTTAAGGGTGCTGGACTCCCACATGGCTGACCATGGTTCGAGTCCCAGACCTGGCAGCTCACTTTCTCACTTTCCTTCTCTTTCTCTGTCCCTCTCTGGTCAAATTAAAATCAATCAATCAATCATCAATGAAATAAAGTTAAATAAAATAATTCTTTTAAAAAAACATGTATTATAAAAAAAGTGTACCTTGCCACTCTCAATGTTTTTGTATATAATATAATAAAGATTCAAAAAAGAAAAGTAGTTATCAGCTAAACTGGTATGCTACAATGAAGAATTAGATTTTAAAATATAAGACAAAATAAAATTTCTCATAATAGCTATGCAGAACATTAAAATCATTTCATTAGCAATATCAAACAATATGCTCTAGCTGAAAAACAATTTATTATTCAAAGTACCAATTAAGCTAAATGTGATATATAAAAGTTGTGCTTGGGAAAAAAAAATCAGTTTCATATAATTAACTTCAGACTAACACTGCAATTAGTAAAGAAAATAGGCAGATGTTACCAAATTTTACAGTGCTATTACGTGGGAGTTGAAATATGTGTTGTGCTTCTGCTTTAGAAAATAATTTTTGGTGTTAAGTGATTTTAATAGGAAGCATGAGAATAGTTAAAAAGGGAACTGAACTTATATTTAAAGATCAAAATAAAGCTTTCAGAAAACTATTTTATTTTTAATCTACAAAGGGTAACACTCAGTTTAGAAGCTAACCACCATAGCTTTTAAAAATTAATATTCCATAATAAAAGTAATTTCAAATTATTTTTCCAAAGAGTTGAGCCCAGCAAAGAGATGAGAATTAATATAAAGTTATTGACACTGAAGGCAACCCTACCCTGTGGTCTTACTCACAAGAGCTGAGAGGAAGACTACTTCAAAGGGCATCTGTCGTGCAAGCTGTGGCACCCTGCTCTGCCACACTGCACTTTGTATTACCAACATCTCACCCTTTCTAACCCCATGAAAGATCATGTTTACATGGCATACACGCATGATAAAACATCACTTTGCAAGTGTTTCTTTAATGTCTTCTATTTTTCTCTAAAACATATCCAGTCAGAAAACTCATAATTAAAGTTAAAAAATTTACTGAAGATTCCATTTGTGATAGGTCATTTTATTTTCATTCTATCAGGTTGTTGGAAAAGTTACGACATATTTTTTTCTATGCAAAAATATGCATGACTTTTCCAACAACCCAGTTAGTAATAGGATAGTAAGCACCGAGGTCATTAGTATTAAATCTGATGACTTCAATGAGGTTTGAGAATACCTCGAATTCCAGCATGCTAGGGGTCAGTGGGCACACAGAAGCCTTGGCAGACTAGAGTGTATCTGCTTTATCTTTGTTTAAAACAAGGACAATTGTTAGAGTTACAATGATGGAAACAATGACACAAATACTTTTGATAGTATTTTAAAGTTAGAAGCAACTTTATTAGATTGTGTAAAGAGGGGATACAGCTGGTGTTGTTTTGCTAACCCCCGAAGTCAGTTTATTCTGCTTTGGGGCTGAGCAGCATTCAGGAGGATGCTCCCATATGGACAGTGGAGGCCAGAATGCCTGTTCCCTTCTCAGCTCTCGGGAAATGGGGAGACCCAGGGCTGGGCTATAGGCCAGTCTGCAGAGACCCTCGTTTCATGCCAGCTGCACTCATTCTGTGAGCACAAAACAGGGCCTA